GAATTTAGAGATAACTTAGCCCAGGGTATCCAAAGTGTTGGTAAACCGCCTACAAAACAATTGCTCCTCTGTGTCAAGACATGGAATATAAATATAGAGCGCATTTTTAGGAAAGTCTAAATTGGGTAAATGCCAAAGGGTTTGTTTGTTTGTTTGTTTGTTTGTTTATTTGTCAGGGCTTCACTGTGTAGTTCTGTCTGGCCTCAAACTCACAGTTCTGGAGTCACTCTGTAGACCAGGCTGGCCTCAAACTCACAGTAATCTGCCTGTCTCATTAGTGCTGGGATCAAAGGTGTGCATTCCATACCTACCCCCCCCCCTTTTTTTTTTTTTTGAGCATTTAAAACACAGGTGAATTTAATTACACTGAAATTCTCATTCATTGTCTGGTTAATAAATTAATGGCATTTGTTGATTTTTAATGTCCCAGAATTCAGTTTAGACACAGGACAACTATATAGTGAAAAAAATTAGTTTTATGTTCACGTGAACATAAGATATGAATCTTAAAAGAATTTTCCTTTAAAATATATTGCTTGGGGAATGGGAGGAGATGAGGGAGGGAGGGTGGGATTGGGAGGCAATGAGGGGGGGCTACAGTTGGGATACAAAGTGAATAAACTGTAATTAATATAAAAAATAAAAATTTAATTAAAATATATTGCTTTAGGGGATGGAGAGATGGCAGGCTATTAGTCTGCTGCTCTTTCTGAGGCGAGGAATTAGTTCCCCCCATTGGGCGGCCCACAACTCCTGCAACTCCAGCTCCAATAGCTCCTACATCCTCTCCTGGACTCATGTGGGCATCTGCGAGGGGCAGATGCATACTGAAAAAAAATTAACATTTTAAATTAAAAAATGTAGCTTTTGATTTCAAAATCTGTGAGTGGAATATCAGCTAAACTGTATTTCTAGCATAAGCTGCTTAGCAATTTCGCTTATTAAAAGCAGCCCAAAGCTCAGTAGCTGCAGCAGGTCTGGAAGATAAAGCTGAGTTTTGATACTCTCTTTTTCTAAAACAGGCGAGCTTTCACTTTCAAATTGCTATTATTATGACTTGCCTGGTACTTTCTTCAATGAAATTTCCTTAAGTCCATCATTTCTTGAGATTTGCTTTCCTGCTACTCAGTAATATTTAGTTAGAGCTCTAGGAGAGACCATATATTGGAAAGGGGATTCTAGTTCTCATGAGGTTTTGCTGAAAAGTGTGTTTTATTCTCTGAAGAACTTATGATTGAAAAGTTATGTGAACATTTTCTATGCTTTGGGGACTTAACTTACTGCTGATAACAATGATGGCTCTCATTACATAGAATTCGGGAAGTGCCTTTTGATTGTTTTCCTTTGGTAAAGTTAATGTTCTTTGATAATATTTTTGCTTCAAATGTTCTATTGGATTTTGTCCAAAGCATTTTTTTATTTTGTTGGACATGTTCAAAACTAATGGATTAATGAATATTTTATCCTAAAAATTTGATAAAAATTATTGATTGCTATTGTTGACAAAGGAAAAATAGTATTAATACCATGAACGGTGGTTTAGCTCATGGAAATATTACTTTTTTGTTTCATTCCATTAATTAATTAATTAATTAATTAATTAATTAATTAATTAACTTTATATCCCTACCGCAGCTTCCTCTCCCTCTCCTTTCCCCACTTCCCTTCCCTTTCTATTCAGAGAAGGGAGACCTCCTGAGAATATCACCCTGCCTTGGCATATCAAGTTGAGGTGGAACTAGGCACATCTTCTCTTATTGAGATTAGGCAAGGCATCCCAGTTAGGAGAAAGGAATCCAAAGGCAGGCAACCAAGTCAGAGATAGACCTCCAGTTGTTAGGGGATCCACATGAGAACTAAGCTGCACATCTGTTACATATGTGTAGGAGGTCTACATCTGTCCCATGCATTTGGTTGATGGTTCATCACCTATGGGCTCAGGTTAGTAGATTCTGTAAGTTTTGAATAATAACTGCAGGAGATTTGGCCTGAAGATTAAAAAAAAAAAAACAACAACAAAAAACTAGCTATGCCACTCCTAGGTATATACCCGGAAGTACCTCCATCATGCAACAAGGACACTTGCTCAGTTATGTTCACAGCATCTTTATTTTTAATAAACTTTTATTTTAATAAAGAAACTACAAACAACCTAGATGTCCCTCCGCCAAAAAATGGACAAAGAAAATGTGGTACATTTACACAATGTTGAGATTTAAGCATCCTCTCTTGGCCTTCCTTGTTACTTATTTTCTTAGGGTCTGTGGATTGTAGTGTGGTTGTCCTGTACTTTATGGCTATTATCCACTTGTAGGTGAATACATATCATGTTTGTCTTTCTGGGTCTGGCTTACCTCACGTAGAATGATCTCTTCCAGTTCCATCCATTTGCCTGCAAATTTTATTCTGTCCTTGTTTTAAATGCAGAGTAGTATTCCATTGTGTAAATCTTCAGACTAAATCTGCTGCAGTTATTCAATTTCCGCTATAATCTAACAATTATATTTTATATATTTGTAGAATTTATTTATGTATTTAATATTGATATTTTTCTTCCTCAGTCATATGACAGACATCACAGTGGCCCTATATGAGTTTACGTTTTCTAAGAAAGGGAGGTCTTAATATTTTATTATTTATATTTATTTTATTTTATTTTTTACATTTATTGCCTGCTTTTTGATCACTTGCCCCTGGTGAACCACAGAGGAAGAGGATCCAGGCAGTGCTGATGAGACTTGATAAGCTATGGGTGGATGGCAGAGGAGAAGTCCCCTTTTAATGGACTAGGGGAAGGGGATAATGAAGAGGGAGGGAGGGTGGGACAGGGAAGAATTGAGGGAGGGGGCTTCAGTTGGATATATAATGAATTACTTGTAAAAAAATAAAAAATGAAAATGAAAAAAAGTAGCAATGCTGACAACTCCGAAAGAAAAAAAAAGCTTCAAACTGCCATCCTTTAAGTAAAAAATGAAGGCGGAATAAGATGTTTTGAAAGAAAGTGGACATATTAATATGATTTTTAGAGTAGTACCTATTATTATAATTGCTCTATTTTAGTTTTACTATTAACCTAGTATGATGCCTAATTTATAAATAACCCATAGCATAGGTATATGTATATCGAAAAATATAGTGTACATTTGGGTTAGTGTTGTCTATGTTTTCAGGCATCCTCTGGAACGTGGAACAGTTCCCTTGTGGGTGAGAGGGCTTCTGTGTTGAATGGCTGTAGTTATGTTGTGTTGTGTTTACCCTGTTTGTTTTCTGTGTAAGGAGCCTTTCACCAGTAGTGCTCTCACCAGCTTTTAAACAAGCTTATGTCTTCTCACATTAAAAAAAACAACTCTTCTTTGACCTAGTCTCCTTTTCAACTCTTTCTTCTCTCTCTCCTTCCCTTCTTACCACAAAAGGGCTTTCTTCAGTTTCTGTTTCCATTTATTAATTTTATACTTGATTAGGAAAAAAAAATCAGGCCTACCCCTGATATTTCAGTCTGGGTTATAGCTGTACTGTAGCAAAATACATTTTCTTAAAGTGGGTAATGACCTCCATGCCAAGTGGATACTTCTTAATCTTCATTTTGCTTGGCCTTTCTGTGGCATTGAACATAATTGACAACTCTCCTTGAAACAGTCTTTTCATGATATTATGCTTTCCAGTTTTCCATTTTCTTCATTCGTTCTTTTCAGTTGGCTAGAGATGCTGGAGTTCCTGAAGACTGTTTGGGCTCATTTCCCTTCCCATCAAACAGGCTAAATCAAGTTTTATACAGTGCCTGTAAATGATTCCCAAACTTATCCCTGGCTTTGCAGTAGTGTGTTCAGCTGCCTGTGACATGTTTCTACATTACTCGCTCTCTGCTCATTTTCACAAATTCTTTTAGAACCTGTTACTTACCAGGTGTTGTGCTGGGGCTAGGGCTGACTTCTGTCTCCTTTCTAGAACTTGAGCAAAGAATGAATTTTTACTCTCCCTGCCAACAATGAGCCGGTACAAGCAAACAAACAAGAAAGCCAGACAACAGCAGTCTAAATGGCCTTTACCTCTGTTATTCCCATCAAGAGCTGAAATCCATCCAGTTCTTTTAGTTTGAATCCTTAGGCTTAATTGTAACTCTTCCCTTTGTTGGAGGAGTCCAGCCAGTGCCATGTAACTCACTGTGTTGTCCTAAGGCTCAGGTGTCCTATTTACTGTAGATCTTGTAGATCTTTTCTTGGTTGTAGTCATTATTCCCCTTTCACTACTAACGCCATCACTTGACTTTTGCACCAGGTCTATTGGTCTTGACTGTATTCACTCCTGACTTTCATCTGACCGCTTGACATGTGACTCCAAGCAGGGTTTTTTTTTTTAAAGTATTATTTAGCTTTTTCTGTCTCAGTCTAAAAATATTATTTATTCATTTTCTCTGTGTGGTGTATGTGTATATGTATATGCATATATGTGTGCACACTCACCCACGCTCATGCAGGTGGACGTCAAAGGTCAACATTGTGTGAGAGTCTTTATTCTCTGTCGTATCTTTCGGGCTAGGTCTTAATGAACCTGAAGCTTGTGGTTTTGGCTAGACTATGTGATGGTGGGTTCCTGGGATTTTCCTATCTCTACCCATCTTCTAGGGATCTATACCCAGGCCGTCACTCTTGTGCAGAGAGCTCTTTCCCCATGAAGCCATCTTTCCAGTATTCTGTTTCACTTTTATTGTCATACACTTTTTATCTTTTGTCAGAGCATTATTTTGAGGATAGGAAGGTTTGTTATATACAAAATACTTAGGAAGTATGAGGCACTAAGTTCTCAGTGAATCAATATCCAAGACTTTGTGCAGTTGCACATTTGGCCAAGTAAAAAGTATAAGACAGAGTATACTAGTAATGGATGTAAACTGGGCCATTAATATCTTGTTGAGACTTAATTATACTACATAAATTCATAATAAAATCTTCAGCTACTGTAGTTTGTAACCTTATTATGTATGCTTTTTTCTTAATTAAAAGGCTAAGAAGCACCAGGCCTTCCTAGTAGAGACATGTGAAAATAACGTGAAAGAATTGGAATCAATCTTGGACAGCTTTACCGTGTCAGCCCAGTGGACGTCAGGTTAGTTGAAGGTATAAAATGACAGATGCATCTGTCAATGTTCCAAAGTCACTACAGTTTGGGAATTCTGCAGATGCCTCTTCCAGTCTCTCATCTCAACATGCTTTGATTTGATGACATGATAAGAGCAGTTCTCACAGCAGTTAGTTGGCCTAGCTGGCTGGGAAAGGGTGACGGAGTGTGGACCTGCTGTTGTCCTCTCAGAACTTGATTTACAAGTGTTGAAGTCTGTGTGGCTGGACAGACAAGGGCTCACTTGCTGTGTTCTGAATCCAACTGAGAGAAGAACCCTTACAGTATACCTGCAAGGGGAACAGATGTTTCCATCAAATGGAGCCAAATTCTGAGGCAACCTTCAGCGGCTTAAAGGTCATGCTTTCCAAAGGTTATGTAGGACACAGGCTGTAGCCGTGCCGCGCTGCACTGCTGCTTTCTGAGCCAGCTCTCTTTCTCACACATATACGCTCTGGAGATAATAGAGCTCAGCTAAAGGAGTTTTGGTTTGATATTAATAACTTCAGCATAATTAAGAGCTAACAATATTGGGTAGAAATACTTCTGGGATTAGCTAATAAACTCTGTTTACAATATCTACTTTCTTATTTTTTGTGTTTTTTTTTTCATCATGTATGCTTACAGTGGTTTGAACTTAAAACTTTTACTTTTCTGTTTTCTTTTGCCTCAATTTATTTAGTTATTCCATGATGTGATTATATTCTTTAAAAAAAAGGACATACAATTAAATTATATATATATATTTATTTATTTAAGGCAATTGAAAGTGGTTTGGGAGAGGAGTTCTTCTACTTTTTTTTTGAGATGGGGTTTCTCTGTATAGCCCTTGCTGTTTGGGAACTCACTCTGTAGACCAGGCTGGCCTCGAACTCAGAGATCCACCTGCCTCTGCTGCTGATTGCTGGGACTAAAGGCATGTGCCACCACCATCAGGTGGGAAAGGAGTTCTTTAGGAAATGGAAATTTAGGGAAGTTTGTTGTCCTGGAGAAAATGGAAGGCCTGTGCTTTAAGCTCAGAGTCTGCAGACCTGGCAGCCAGCAAACTGTTAGACATTTAATATACACTGTTTCTTTTTCAGTCTGCTTTTATAGGTCATGTTTTTAGTTGTGACTTCATCAAGTTCACATATAACTTTTCATTGTTATATTTTAGCAATGATTTAACATAAAAATTATTGGGGCTGGAGAGGTGACTCCGAGAATAAGAGCCCTTGATGCCCTTCCAGAGGACCTAGGCCCGTTTGCCGGCACCCACATGGTGACTAACACCTGTCTATAACTCCACTTCTAATTAATACATACAGGACAACACTCATATAGATAAAATAAATAAAAGAATTAAAGTGTGTGTGCACACATGTAAACATGTATGCACATACCACAGCATGTCAGTGGTAGTCAGAGGACACCTTGTGGGATTTCAATTCTCTTTCTACCATTTGGGTCCAGGGATAGAACTCAGGTCGTCAGGCTTGGAGGCCGGTGCGTTTACTTGCTGAGTCTTCTTGCGGGCCCCAGTATGTATATTTTTAAACTTTAGTTTCTATACATATGTAAACACTATATGTTACAGGACGTATGTTACCAGAAGAGGACTGTGTACTCAATTAATGATTTTTGGATTGGTATAGAGGAATTGCTGTTTCAGTAGTTTGTGATGATTATTTGCTCTTTCTTTGTGGATTCGTTCTCCTTTGGTGCATGGTTTTCCTTGTGCTGTATGAGGCTGACTTCCATCCTTTGCCTTCTGGCTTCTCATTAGGTTCTGTTTCTACTTACCATGTTTCAGGTCGGATAGCTGTTGTTTATTTTCTTCAATCTGCTTTATTCTTCATATATCTTTAGTTATAATTTTATTAAATAATTACATAGCTTTCTTTGTTTTTTTTTTAAATTAAATATCCAACATTAAAATGAAGAAGTTGCTTATTAGATATTGATCTCTTCTTAGCAATTGCTGTCAAATATTAAGTAAGTTTCTTGTTTACTATTTTACTGTGAAGATGTTCCACTAAAAATATCCTATACTTTTTGAGGACACACACGTTACATTCCTAAAAATTGTGTCTATATGTATAGTATATAGATTTTTGAGTGAAAGTCTGTTTCAAATCAAAGCATACACTCTCACCTTGTGATGGTGGCACATTCGCAGAGCTCATAACAAATTGTAATCAGTTAGCCTGGGATGAACTCCCAGAGTTTCTCTGTAGTTAGGATAAGTAGGCAATAGTTCTACCTCCTTTTATCCCTGTATACACTTTTAACTTCAATATATGCTCTGCAGCTACCCTGGATTTCAAGAAAAGTAATCCATAGTTGCTGAGATATACAGGTGAGGTTACATAATTTGTTTAAAACTTGCTCTTTCAAATGAAATGATTGGGCCTGTGGAATGACTCAGCAGGTAAACAGTGCTAGCTGCAGAAGCCTGAAGACCTCAGTTCAATTCCCAAAATTCACACTGGAAGAGGAGACTCTCAGCAGTTCTGTGATCTCAACACATGTGCTGTGGCCTGTGTGTGTGTGTCCCTGCACAATAATAATAAATTGAAATATTAAGGTGAAATGATTAAAAATTATTTTCATGAATTAATCTTAAGCCAGAATTGACACTAGTTGCCTGGCATTTGAGTTTTGTGGTTTGTGTATGTTACGAAACTTTCTGAAGTGGAGTGTAGCCCATAATTTTGTCTTCAGGTAGCAGACAAGTAAAGTTTGAGTTAGTCCAGGAATGCTCAGGAGTTTATGTACACAGATTACCTTTATTTTCTTATCAGTGTGGTAGTTACACATCAGTTCCTAAGGTCACATCATTTCAGATTGCTTTCTTGGCTGTCAGGGTGACAATTGAAAGTGAAAAGGCTAAACTTTCACTTAAAGTACGTAACAGCAGAACTGGTCCTCTGTATATTTGAAAGTTGTGAAGAAACTAGTGTCTTCAGTGCCCTCCCCTGGCCACAAAATAGTCCTTATATGTAATGATGGATGTATAAAATTGACTTGATTGTGAGAATCACTTCACAGTGTGAATATACAACACATCATTGTATAACCTGAACTCAGAGTCAATTGTTTTTCAATAAGGCTGGGGGAGAACAACAAAAGCTTGTTAGAGCATGGATTTCCTTTGCTCTAAGCTGCCCAGGCTTTGCTTTTCTGTAGAAGCCAAAGTGCTAGCAGTGATGGGCCTCTATGCTTCTTGCGCATCGGCCTCACTTGCTGCTCACCCCCTGCCTGGCTCAAGTCCTCTGGCTAACTCCTTGCCTGTGAACACACCAAGCATTCTCTTATCTTAGCCATCTTTATGATGAACATTCTTTCTAGGTGGAGGACTTTAAAAAACAATTACTTTTCTTTTAGTAGAGTATACCCACATAGCTTTTTTCTACTGTTCTCAAGCCCATGTTCAAGTGTCCTTGACACTTACCCACTGCATATTCTCATGTGTTCAGCCTCACCACCCCTCTCCATTTCCTGATGCACTCTTGTGTGTGTACCATAGCACCTGTTATCGTCACATGTTTCTGACACTATTTAGCATGTTTCTTACTACATCTAAGTTGTCTCTTATTCACTAATGTTATAGGGCAGTCTGTGGCACAAAATAGTCACTAGAAAAGTAATGAGTATGAATTAAAAGAATGTTGAAGTCTATTTAAATTTTTTAGTGTTTTTCTTTTGAGGCAAGGTCTTAATTATGTAGCTCTGAATTGCCTGGAGCTTGCTATCTAGACCAGGTTGGCCTGGAATGCAGAGATCTGGCTGCCTCTGCCTTCGAGTGCTGGGATTAAAGATGTACAGCACCATGGCTGGCTCTGTTTTAAATTTTACTTTCTAGAGTTATCAATGTAGTCTTGAAGGTTTTCTAAATTATGGTAGTCTCTGGGAGCTCTCGGTAAATAGTCACTAGGAAGACTGATCCTGAGTCGACAGGATGTACAGTCCCTTATGTGGCATAGGCATTTCTCCATGGTTGCTCACTTTGTTAGACAAGGCGGGCATTTATTTCTACTCTTTTTTCTACCTGCTAACTGATATTGAAGTAATACTGCTTACATCCCATTTGTTTCCCCTGGTGGGGATAAAGGGTTAGGGAAGGTTGTTTCCTGCTTTGAGCCCATGTAGTTTTCTGCCACAAACGTAAAATTTCTTCTAATACAGTGTTTGCTCTGCCCTGAAGCTGGCAGACATCGGAATGTGACTGCTCGCTCATGTATTTTCCTTGTGGTTCGGTCTTGACTCCTCACTCTGGTAGACTTTCCTATAGGCTTTCCTTTCCTTGAGGAAATAAGTTGTAATACTCTAGAAATACAATATTTTCTTCCACTTGGAGAGACTAAAGAACCCACAGAAATAATAGCCACAGGAAGACTGGAGACATGGCCCAGTGGTTGAGAGCCCTGGCTGCTCTTCCAGAGGTTCCAGGTCTCATTCCTAACACTCACGTGGCAGTGTACAGCTGTTTGGAGCTCCACTTCCAGGGGATCTGATGCCCTCTGTGGCCTCCACTGGCACTGCATGCGTGTGATATACAACATATATTTACATACAGACAAAAAGAAAAGCCACAGAGTTGAATGCTTTTAGGCATATAAGTGTCATCTAAGAATTGATTGGGTAGTCTCAGGGAGTGCTTTTAGAAAAACCAAGAGAACAAACTGGACTTTTTCTTTCCTCAACTTCTTTCATATAGCAATATTTCCCAGACCTATTGTCATTTTAGAACTTTTATTATTCTTGTGAACATTGTTGGAAATGCTGTAGCTAGAGATTCTTGGGTTTCAGAGACCCAAGAAGGATCAGCATTCTAGATTCCATTCATGCTGCTTGCTAATGTTTTCTCTTTTGCAATCTGTAACCTGTAGTGGTGAGTTTTGATAGAGGAAGTACATCACTGGGGGCCGGCTTTGAGGCTGAATAGTATAGCTCCACTTCCTGTTCTCAGTTTCCTGCTGTGAATGAAAATGTGGTCAGCCAGCTTC